ACCTTCTCACTCCCAAAGATAACAGACTACTTTCCAAACGGTCTGATGAGTTGGTTGTTAAGGATTCTCTGGCTCTCAGTATTCAGTGTGCAGGTTCTGTGTCTAACATGGCCCAACGCCTATTTGCTCGAACCCACCAAGTTGAATCATTGGCGGCTGAAGTGATGAGTCTCAAACAGGAGATTAGAGGGCTCAAGCATGAGAATAAACAGTTGCACCGGCTCGCACATGACTATGCTACAAACATGAAGAGGAAGCTTGACCAGATGAAGGAATCTGATGGTCAGGTTTTACTTGATCATCAGAGATTTGTGGGTTTGTTCCAAAGTCATTTATTGCCTTCGTCTTCTGGGGCTGTACCGCGTAATGAAGCTCCAAATGATCAACCTCTGCTGGCTCCTCCTTCTAGGGTTCTGTCCAGTACTGAGGCTCCAAATGATCCCCCTCCAATGCCTGCTCTTTCTGGGGCTCTACCGACTGCTGAGACTTCTCCTAAGCAACCTTTGTGAAGGCTCCCTCTTGTTTGTTTATTTTGACTCATGTATATGTATATATTTGTGACTTATCGGGGATATCAATAAATAGCTTTCCTTCATTTCAACGTATTGTGTTAAATACACCAAAGCCTTCTTCGCTAAGTTCTCTGAATTTTCTTTTGTTGAAGCTTGTATGTTAAAGTTTTGTGAGTGGAGCATGTAGGTTGAGGTAGTATTCCTCTGGTTTCGTCCACTTGAAAATAATACATAGCAATTCAAAAAAGAAAAGAAAAGAATAGACACCTAACCCCAGTGAGAGTGAGCTTATATCAACCAAACATGAAATAGAGCATACATATTTTTTTCATACGATGATATTTTACTTTAAAATAAGACATAATCAGATATCAAATTCAACACAAATATTATACAAACTTGTTATTTATGGAAGTTAAATGTGAGATCTCTCGTTTCCAAAGAAAGAAAAATATAGCTAAACTATAATACAAGTTGTTATATGACATGTATAGCTTTTTAATTTTAATTTCTTTTCTTAGAAACAAAATGTTGGTGACATCGATCCATTTATATTACAAAGATGGTAAAGACAATGACAACCAAAAATTACCCATGTGGCACCATAAGATTAGAGAGAGTCAAGGGTTTTTTCCCCAGATACATTTGGTGGGAGCTAGGGACATATCAGATGGAAAAGTCTATGGCTGATCACCATAACTTTGAAGACTATATAAAAAACAAAGGGATCGATTAAGATGGTTTTGAAAATAACTTGACAACTTATATTTATATAGATCCTTTGACGAATATATATATATATATATATATATATATATTAGCTAGTACAATTGATTGATTTCACAAGTTCCTACTACACCTGTAACGATTGGTAAACGATTAAAGTAGCTAGTCAGAAATATGTGATAGTTTTGAATAGAAGGACATGTGAGATTTTTGCTCTATGCAACGTATGACTAACGCATGTGAGGAGCTCCATGTGTTTTGGATCTAAACTTTTTTAAACAAAGTGCGATTATTTAATGTTTATAACTAAATTAATAATTAGTTTGAAGTTTATGAAAAGGAGCATCTCAGGAAGGTCACATTTATATGCATATTAATTAAATAAAGGCAGCTATATATCATTATGTATATGCATGGTTACACATCAATTGAAATCAAATATGATTTTGATAGAGTAACTAGTTATGGAAATTGTAATCCAATTATATATGGTTACCTGTTGAAATTATTGGGAACTACCTATGCTTTTGGAAATAATTTGCGTGAAATAGTATTATATCACGCATGTGACCGCATTCAATGTACACCTAAAATACCTCATAAGCACGACACAAAAGTTACAAATTATTTCATAAAATAATAAGGGAATTGTTATTGGCACTTCAAAAATCTCATTCTACACTCCAAAATTTCTATATTTAGAAAGAAAAATACACTTGTGAGGAGTGTGGAATAAGATTTTTGGAGTGCTAATAACACTTCCCAATAATAAAATATGAAAAAACAATTTAATTTAACACTGATTAAGAAATCAACAAAAAAGAAATTAAAATTTTTTTTATTCTTCCTTCCAAACAACATACGACCTATTTGACATGCATGTCATGCAGCAGCAGGCTGTAGAAGGAGAAGATATCGACGACCAATCGATTCCATCACAACAGTACGTAATAATTGATTATGAATTAACTACGAATTTTTTTTTTTTAAAAAAAGGGGACAATTGGCGACAAGTCACGGTTATTCACTTCTTCCCGGAGGGGGAAGACTAACAGAGGCATTTCAGCATCCCCTTGGCCACAAGTCTAGCTTCCACACTAGTAGTGGGTTTCAAACCAGAGACTTCCAGTTTTCAGTTTTAAAGAAGTCTCGTAATCCACCTTTTACCATTGGACCACCAGCTCGTGATAATTAAGTTCTATAAAAATTGTTTTCGGAAACGTATTTGATGAAGGAAGCACTCTTCTTAACTCCCGCAGTATTGGTTTTGTCAGTTAACTCTCTCAGTGGTTTGTCAGCGAACCGAATGAGATTGTAGGCGACTCCACCGAGTCTATATGGTGCCAACGAATGGACCTACAATATAAATCGATATTCCCTTGTCTGTGTGCATCACTATTGTTGGCCCTTGGCTCCGTGCTGGGTCCATCGATGCCCCTAAGACCGGTCTGCTCCATGTCATATATATGTATTCAAGTACGTTAGTTTTATATATCCAAACGTACAATATTATTGTATTTTATATATGTGCTATATGTATATGTATATATGTACCTGGCAACGAGGACGTCGATAGTTATTGTCATTCCTACAGCAATTAATGCCAATTCTCCAATCTGCATGCATGCATGCAGTGCACATATGCATATGTATGAGCATATTAGGGATTAATTACTAACAGCTCTACTATCTGTGGCGATGCCTGAAATAACAAACATCAAGACAAAAGAGGCAATGATCTGCATGACCAAATATCGAACGTCTGATCCAACTAGTTATGTTCCAAAATATGCCGCTTGGGGCACCAAAACAAGGCATAAAGTCCCGCTTGCAAGGATGGATCCTAACACATGCGCTGCAATATACAGAGGCAAGTACAAATTATGCAATTGAATGCATGAATATATGACAAGAATTTAATCATGATTAATTAATTAATTGGGCGGAATAGTTTTTGATTAATTAATGCGTGTTTGGGTGGAAAATGGCGGAAGATGGTGAAGGTTATGTCGGATTAAAGTGGGCACTGGAGATATGACCAATCGAATACACCATAACCATGACGATTAATCATCATGTAACTGAAATTCCTGGAACCATAACCATGACCACCGGAGATATTACCGAACTTGTACGAAAATAAGGGTTGAATTGCATGCATTTGTCAATCAGTTTTCGATTTTTATTTTAGGGTTAGGGTTTGTACCAAAATGGGTCTGGCCCATCTTACTCTGGGGCTCCGAAGAGCTTCGTTCAGTCTTTTGTGTTCTGCTTCAATTGTTGCTAAAAATATTTGATATAATTAACAAACTCAGCCCGTGGTTTCAAACTCAATTTAACAATTTGGCTAGTATATATTTTCCATCTCGCCGGCACCACGCAGCTCACATTTTGCATGCCTTAACGCATAAAAGATATTTTGTAATTTAATGTAATCGGTTCTTTCTTAGAAATCCTACTCTTTGAAGTCCTTGTGAGATATATAAAGGTGTTTACTCTATAAATAAAATCAACAAAGTCAATATTTTTTTACACGTTTACTTTGACTGTAGTTAGTTGAATGTTTGGGTAAAATTTTATCCTTGTTTGTGCAGGATCGAAATTTTTTATTATCATCCGCTTAATTTAGTTACAAAAGAAACATATCTTTTTTTCGGGGTATTGGAGTGGATTGTTTCATGTGTGAAGTTTAACGGTCACACGTGCTCCACATCATTCCAGTGGTATTGTCCACGTCTTTGGCTTGAAAATTCGTCACACGTGAAGAGATATGTTGAGAATAAATCCCACATTAATGGGAGGAAGAACTTTACATTAATTTATAAGTAAATTAAGTTACGATTTAAACACATGATAAATGTCTATCGAAAGAATGATTCACCGTTTACATGGATGATTCACTATTTAAATACATGACAAATGTCTATCAAACGAATAATATGGTACGGTGCATTGGTTGCAAGAAAGTTTCATTTTCCGAGTTAGATATATCTATATACTATCGATGGTGGCTTTGTTCTTTCTTTAATTTTTTGAACATCATTGTGTTATCATTGGATTTGATGAACAAAAGTCTTATTTACATGCAATGTCTCTCTCGATGGCCCTCAATAGTCTTCATCTGCAAGTCTGCAACCCTACCCTAATTAAACAAATAATGGTCCCAAAGCCGCAGCTGGTCCATCCCTCTGGCTTTCGTGTTCGTTTTTCACCCTACTCTGACCACGGCAGCATGACCACCTCCTCCCTTGCTCTCTCCATCTTTTGATGATGCATTTTTGTTTCTTATTTATTTTCATCTGCACCACGCCTTTATTGCTTTGGTCCAAAACCTAGCCAATTCTCCAATTTGCACAACCACTAGTAAAAAAAACACTTTGCGCGACGCAGGTCCTTCGTCGCGCAAAGTCAAAAAACGTCGCGCAAAACTTTGCTCAACGAACCTTCGTCGCGCGCAAACCGTCGCGGCAAGGCAGTGACAGAAAGCTTTGCGCGACGAAGGGGTTACATGCGTCGCGCAAAGTGGCATAGGTGTCTTTGCGCGACGTAGTCATGCGTCGTGCAAAGTGCCTTCGTGGCTTTGCACGACGTAAGATATGCGTCGCGCAAAGTGGCTTATTGTCTTTGCACGACGTAGGCATGCGTCGCGCAAATCCCTTTTTTATGTTTTCGTCAAAAATATTTTGTTTTAAATTTTTAATAAATATTGTAATTAAATTCTAAACAATAATGAATTAACCAAGCAAAATATTTAATTATAAAATATATGAAAATGTACGTACAAGATGTTCGAACAAAAAAGAAAAAACTAATTGACCCAAAAAAAAAACATAAAAGAAAAAACTACAACAAGTAGTCTTTTAGGCTTGATGCATCAGGCTACTAAGTATCGGCTGGTGGTGTAGCCTTGCCACGCTGATGAAAACCATTGCCTCTCAGTCTGTTGTAATCTCCATCCGTAACTACCCCTGCTTGAACTCCGGCCACCAAAACGCCCCCTTGTGGCATCAGTTTGGTAACCTCCTCTGCCTCTGCCCCTTCCTCCTGGTTGAAAAATTCAAAATCCACGTAAGGAGACCAAAAGTTGAGCAAATTAAATGTTATCTCTAAGGAAAACAGATGCATAGATGCTTAATAGTTTGGTAGATCACATTCTAAATGCTGGCTATGCCAATAGACTCAGTAAGCTCATGAACAGGACAAATGATTTGGTTCCATGAAAAACCTTGACGCTAGTACTGCACATCTAAACGACATCTTAGAAGAAGGAAGATTGCAATGCAAATTTGATTCCGAGACTAATTGGGAAAAAGTATGTTCTCTATCTCTACTACAAAAAATTTCTAAGATTTATGAAGGCAACACCACTTCCTTGCAGCAGCTGCCAACATTAGGACAAACACAACCGTAAGGGCCACTCGAGGACTCCACACAACATCCCCAATACATCCCCTTACATTCATGTTTTTCCAATAGATACAGTATTTAAGAATAACATCATGCATTCACAAGTCTGACAATTTTGCCACATCAAAGATGTTAAGAAAAAAATAATGAAATTAAGCACATACTTCCTCGAGCTGCTAATCCAGTGCTGTTTGGTCTCTGCTTCTCAATGTAAACTTGCCTTCCAGCTAGATGAATTGGAGATGCCTACAGGGAAAAACACACTTTAGGCCATGCACAATATATACATATCACTTTACAAAAATAATGCTTTTTGTAGAAGATTGATAAATTTTACTAAAATGTGCTAAACAGCAAAATACAACAAGCAATGGACCAGCAATACAAGAGATATACCCAAAAATAAAAACCCTACAATCAAAACTACATTGTAGAATGACACCAAGCCCCAAAGACATCATAACCTCCTGAAAAAGGGAACCGACTGAAGATACAACAGCATATCAATCCACATTAACAGAAAAGAATGGAGTAATCTTTAATTCTAGATACCGAATCCCATAGAGATTGCCCAATCATTGACCATATCCCACAAGAAATCTAGTTAACACTTTGCACTGAAAAATTCAACCATTTATCTGCAATTAAATGACCTTAAAACATCAAAACGCCAAACCCCACACACTTAACTATAGAAGTACAAATTACAGACACGACCCAAAATATATATAACAAAGTAAATACACAGGCAGATAGATCATCAATGGTGACAAGAGTGCAAGAGTAAGTACGGTAACTCTAAATAATTGAATGCCTAAAGACAAATGCGATATGCCCTAAGAATTCGCAATAGATGCATAACCACATACGAGAAATGAGAGGACTAAATCAAATAACAGGAAATTTTCCTTAATCCATGAGCATTTTGAAGCGAAAGCCATAAACTCAACAACTTAAATCACAAGTTTTAAACATAAACTGAATCCTTCCAATTCAGAGCAGGCAAACTTAAACGGAATCCTTCCAATTCAAAGTAAGTCAACTTATTCCCTATTTTAAACTTAAACTGAATCCTTCCAATTCAAAGCAGGCAGACAAGTTTTGAATTTTAAAGCAGGTGATGATCTACAATTCATGGTCAAATGGAATTTGACACTAAAAGCTACTGGACCTCAAGATTGAAGCAAAGACGGGCATGCCAAGCTTTACAAGTATAATATGATAAAGTGCTATTAACCCGCTAGGAAACATTATAACAAAATTGAAAATCTAGCAAAGGCAAAAAGAAAAAGATGTAAATCTGAAACAAACCTGACAACAAGGAAACATTATAACAGAATTTGACACTAAAATTTGAAATAAGTGATAATAAGCTTGGCTAAATTTATGATACATTTCTACACCCGAACTTCAGACAAATAACCCCATTGCTCAAAACGCCACTTGACATTCCTTTAAATGTAAACACATTACACTTTGAGATTCCTTTAAATGCAAATTCATTACACTGATTATAGGAAGCAAAACAAGCAGAAATTGTACCTTCCAGCAGAGACATATCGATCCACGTAATCAGTTGGGTACGGCAGATCATCGGCATCCCCTTCAATTTTCCTGCATTCCTTCAAGGGCTCCTTCTCCTTAGCCTTGGCAAGTTGGTGCGGCGATTGGTGTTTCGACTCCTACCGCCATAGCTCACTAAACCCTTCTGGGAAAAACCCCATAAGGGTAATTTTTCCCACCAGAACCTAACCCACTTGGTGTTACTGCTATTATTCCATTGACAAGTTTGAGATTCTGAGCTCCGTAAAGCATAGAAATCGCCATTATACGGTAATAGAACGAAAACCCACAAATTTAAACAGGTAAATTTACACTTTTTCTCACTGATTACTGGAAACTAAGGTGAAAAATGGCAGTGAGGATTGAAATTTACAGTGAAATGGGAACGCAAACAGCAAACACTGTGAATTCCTGGTAATTGGAATACTGGGAATTCATATATGTCAAAATTTGAGAAGGGAAATGATTGGGAAATTGGAAGGGCTTACCGACCCACGTATGTGTGTTGTGCGGAGACGAAGATTACAGGCAAATAGTGTACTTGTGTCAGTGTGTGACTCTCGGTTGAATGCGTACCACAAGTCGCGGCTCTACTGGTGGTGCACATCCCTATCAGGTAAAATGCCCAAAACGCCGACGGAGGGTGGAGCGGAGGAGAAACAGATGGGTGGGTAGTGGCTGCTGTCTTCCTTCGTCTTTGTAATTCGTCTAACGGAGTGGGAGAGAAGAGCGAGACGGAGTGAGAGAGAGGGCGAGATGAGCGAGAAGGAAGAGAGAGACCAAGCGAGAGCAATTATAAGTAATTTGAGAAAAATTAAAAAAAAAAAGCGCCTATTTTTTTCAATCGTACCGCCAAAATTTCAACAACTTGCGCGATGCATTGGTTGGTGCGTCGTGCAAAGGGTTATACGTACAATAATAAATTTAAAACTACTTAATAAATATATATACCATTCAATTTCTTAAGTGTTATACGTACAAAATAAAAAAAATTAAAGCTACTTAATAAATATATGTACCATTCAACTTGATGAGATACGCATTCTACGATTTAACCGTCAAACTTGTTTGTATATACTTCGAGATCGCATTCGTCAAAAATCGACAAAAAACAAACTTTCAAAGTTCAAGTTACAGGAATTTTTCGACGGTTATAAACGAAAAATCACGATTTAACTGTAGTTTTAACTCCGATTTTGATGATTTTTATAGCTACACTCGTTGATCCTATATGAATACAATGAACTAATTTGATCGTCATTTTAAAATATTTACACAAGTGGATACCACAAAATCTTATGTTATACTTAATGAAATTATAAATAAACTTCAAGTCTTTGTGAATGTATTGAAATTGATGGGATACGCATTGTACGAAACTAGTTTCAACGATCCAACAGTCAAACTCGTTTGTATATACTTCGAGATCGCATACGCCAAAAATCGTAAAAAAAAAACATTCAGAGATCAAGTAACGAGACAAAACTTTTCAACGATTATAAACGAAAAAATCACGATTTCACGGTTATTTTAACTCCGATTTTGATGATTTTGTACAGCTACACTCCTGGATCCTATATGAATACAAGGAACTGGTTCGATCGTCAATTTAAAACATTTACACAAGTGGATACCACAAAATCTTATGTTATACTTAATGAAAGTATAAATAAACTCTCAAGTTTTAGTAAATCTATCGTTTTGATGGGAAATGCATTTTACGAAACTAGTTTCCACAATCCAACCGTCAAACTTGTTTATATATGATTCGAGATCGTATACACCAAAAATCGCAAAAAACAAACAATCAGAGATTATATAACGGGTCAAACCTTTTCGACGGCTATAAACGAAAAATCACGATTGAACGGTTATTTTAACTCTGATTTTGATGATTTTTTACAGCTACACTCCTGGATCCTATATGAATACAAGGAACTGGTTCGATCGTCAATTTAAAACATTTACACAAGTGGATACCACAAAATCTTATGTTATACTTATGAAAGTATAAATAAAATATAAGTGTTGGATAATCTATCATTTTAATGGGATACGCATTGTATGAAACTAGTTTCAACGATCCAACCATCAAATTTGTTTGTATATGCTTCGAGATCGCATACACCAAAAATGGCAAAAAACAAACCTTCAGAGATCAGGTAACGGGACAAAACTTTTCGACGGTTATAAACAAAAAAATCAAGATTTTACGGTTATTTTAACTCCGATTTTGATAATTTTTTACAGCTACACTCCTAGATCCTATATGTATATAAGGAACTGATTTGATCATCAATTTAAAACATTTACACAAGTGGATACCACAAAATTTTATGTTATACTTGATGAAAGTATAAATAAAATATAAGTGTTAGGGAATCTATTGTTTTAATGGGATACACATTGTACAAAACTAGTTTCAACGATCTAACCGTCAAATTTGTTTGTATATGCTTTGAGATCACATACGCCAAAAATTGAAAAAAACAAACCTTCAAAGATCAAGTAACGGGACAAAACTTTTTGACGGTTATAAAAGAAAAAATAACGAGTTAACGGTTATTTTAACTCCGATTTTGATGATTTTTTACAGCTACACTCTTGGATCCTATATGAATGCAAGGAACTAATTCGATCGTCAATTTAAAACATTTACACAAGTGGATACCACAAAAGAAAAAGCCAATGCAAGAACCCCAAAAGCAAAGCAAAAGGCAAAAAAAAAAAAAAAACACTTTGCGCGACGGAGGTACACATGCGTCGCGCAAAGTAGCTTTGCACGACGCATGTGTACCTCCGTCGCGCAAAGTGTTTTTTTTTTCCTATATTCCACAGTTTTTACTTCTTGTATACCTCTTCCACTCATGCCTTAAAATTATTGTTTAAGGACCTATATGATGAGACTACGTATTCAAAATCGTAAAGGGTAGAGACTACACCTAAAATGATTACTAACCACATAATAGAATAGTGGTTTGACAAAGATGTAAACTGGATTCTTCTCTAAATGTCTAACATTCTAGTTTCCTCTTCCCAATTTGGTGAGAAATGAAATCATTTTTTTGCACACATCAATCTATCCCTAAATTGGATCAAGTTAACTGAGCAACTTGCAGTTTCTTAGCTTTTGTTTCCCTAAACCTATCAAAATCCTTCATACTCCTAGTCATTCATTCTACTCATTCAATTGTTCAAAACCAAAACTCAACTTGTTAAAAATAAGCATTGACAAAGATAATTAAAGAAAAACATAAATACACAAAAATAAAAAATCCAAACATAAATGTAATCAATAAATAGTTAATTAATTAATCAAATAAATACAATACCTGAAGGTTGAGAGAGACGGAGAGTCTGAAAGAAAGAGGTTGAGTGTGAAGAAAAAGGCCCTTGTGTGTGGTTATTTTAGAAAAAAAAGTCGTCGACTTTGCGCGACGTATATGCACATGCGTCACGCAAAGTTGGGATGGTGATGCACAAAACGTCACTCAAACAGCCTTTGCGCGACGACACTTTGCGCGACGAAGGCTTGCGTCGCGCAAAGATGTTTTGCGCGACGTAGGTATACCTTCGTTGCGCAAAACTGCTTTGAGCGACGCAAGACTTCGTCGCGCAAAGTGTCGTCGCGCAAAGGCTATTTGCGCGACGAAATTTGCTGCGTCGCGCAAGTTTCCGTCGCGCAAACATGTTTTTGTACTAGTGAACATTTCTTTTGATATCTCTCGATTCTTTTATATATGTATATATGTATGTACACACACACACACTCTTATGTTATTGAAAATTTCCACCTGAATAAATTTTGGTTATGAAATAGCTAGGGGGCATATAATATTGAAAGGAACCGATTAAGTCACGCAGTACATAATCATAGTTTCATTATTCAGAAGATTTGATTTTGTATCATGAGGTGGTGTGCCTGCAGAACTTAGGACCAGAAGGGTAGCATGGCCCCCATGTATGCTCAAGTATGAAGCCACGCGCACAAGGACACTACCATATGTTCTTTATGGTGTACCCTACTCATCTTCAGTCCAATCTAATCACCCATTTATCTTTACATAAATTGACAATATCGCTAACATATTTTACGTACAATGGTGAATTCATCTATATTATTAAAGAGCATGTAGTAATTAACATCAGTAGTTTTGTGAGTCTAAATAACATTATTGTTAAAACAACTCGTTGAAAACCCAATCAATGAATAAGTAAATTTTTATATATGGACTGACGGCATTAATGTACGACTAAAGTTCGGAATAATCAGCAGCAAACGATCAATTAATCATGCATTGCATATGCAGAGGCTTCTTCTTTAGCTGCAAAAGGATATATATATATATATATATATCTATATGTGTGTGTGTGTGTGTGTGTGTGTGTGTGTTACATTGAGATAAGTTCAAACTTGAAAAGGCCTGGAGTTTTAGGACCTTATAATTCCATATCGGGGGGGACTCTTAATTTATAAACCTAATCGGCTTCCATGCATGTATTTTATCATCCACACAAAGTTGGGTTCGATCCCTTTACAGGGTAAAAAGTCCTAAAATGGTAGGACCCTCAGACTCTTATAGCTGCTTAACTATATATATGTATATGTGTGTGTAGCCGACCCTACTTAGTGAAAAAACTTTGTTATTGTTGTTGTTGTTGATGTGTGTGTATCTGTGTGGTTCGTGTCGCATTGGGGTCCATTCCCCCTTTGTATCCAAAGAAAAGTTGCAACAACAAAGTCCAAAAGCCTCAGAGGAACTTGGTTCCCAAACAGTTCCTACCTTGCTTGGATTCTATATATATCTTTTTGTCTACTGGTGTCAATGAGAAATTCGATCAGTCATATATAGATTGCAATGGCATGTTTGGCTGCAATCGCCGTTTGAAACAGTTTTAGCAAGCTCTCTAGGCTCCAGCTCCACACGAACAAAACATGGAGATCCACATGAGCATGGACCCCGGCCACTTTGGTCACGTGTTTGAATAGAAAATAATGTCAAATTGTTGAGAGACGAGCCAAATATTCACTTAAAACAACTCCGATATTATCCTTAACTTAGTAATTATCACTTGCACACCGATATTATTTACAACTTGATAATTATTAGCCATTTAATCATTAGCAAGTAGTAGCTACTAAAACAGGATAGTGAGTTGAGACAGTGTCAAGATTTCATGAAAAAGCTCAGTACCTAACGAGTTTACATTGATAAATTGTCTTTCAACTAGCATTTTATCAAATACACAACATGACAAATGTAAGAGTTTATCACAAGACGTGTCTATGTAATTTGAAGTTTGAATATAAATCATGAATTCTTATATATTATTGAGAAGAAAGTGAGGTAGACAACACAGTGCGGTAGACAACACAGTGCACACATGGGGGTGAGAGCTAGCTGCTTAATTGCATTTGTTGGATTGTGGCTACAATCGCATGTGAGAGCGAACCCATCTGCATGTCAAGGCTGAGTCCGCCGTTTCGTAATTCGCCAATTTGCAACCTCCAACATTCAACATGCATGCATGCATGCATGAGAGTATTTTTCCTCACTATCATAAACAATGGTGTATGCTCATCACTTTATTTATTACTGTTAGATGAGTTTGAATTTCGAGATTTGTGTAGTGGATATGACAAATCTCAAAATTCAAACTCATCTAACGGTTATAGACTTATAAATAGGATGGTGAGCATTACCATCACTTAAGGGTAGTGAGCAAAAATGGACTCATGCATGCATGCATGACTGCCGTCGCTTTCGTTTTCTTATTGGCCGACTGATCGATCGTCGAGCATGTTGGTCTTTCTTCCCTTGTCCGTGATTTATTGCCTAATTTTTGTTCTTTGATTCCTTACTTTTTTTAACTTTTTACGGGGGAAATTAACACCTAACACTGTGTAGTGCGTGTGTTCCCTCCCAAAACTACATAACCCCTCCTCCTTACATCAAATCTTGGGATACGGGGTTCCCCTTTGCCCTAATGCCTAATTATCCTAAAATTCACCAACTTGTCGATGGATTTTGCATCTAGAAACATTGATTTAATTAATTGGTAATTGAAATACCATCTTAACTTACAAGTGGTGGATCACCTAGTGAGAAATACTAAAGAGATTCTCTAAAAAGTAGGACTATTGACTTTCTGTCACATCACAATTTAATATCAATTCTTATGTCAATATTATAAAGGGTAAATTACATAGTAGCCCCTCAGGTTTGAGGTCTATTACAACCTCATACAACATCTTTAAAACATTTCACTTTCATACCTCAAGTACTATTTTATTTCAAAATAATACAACCGTTAGATTTTCCATCCATTGATCCGTTAAGCGCTGACGTGGCTGCCACATTTGTGCCACGTGGCTGCCAAATGTGTGTCACGTGGCAAAAAAAATTATTTTTTTATTTTTTAAAAAAAAACCTAAATCTTCTAAATAAAAATTTATAAAAAAAAATTAAAATTTAAAAAAAAATAATAAAAACCTAAACCTAAACCCAGTTCGTCTCCCCCCCTTCCATCTTCTCCTCCTCCCCCATCTTCATCTTCTTCCCCCTGCAACCCAGAAAAAAAAAAAAAAAAAAACCCTTTGCAACCCAGAAAAAAAAAAAAAAAAACCCCCTCTGCAACCCAGAAAAAAAAAAATACCCATCAGTTCGTCGTCCCCCTCCTCCTCCCATCTCTTCTTCCCCCGACTCCCCTACCTGCAACCACCATACCTTGAAGCCTTTCCTCTGGAATTGAATGTTCACCAAATGAGGCTGCACACCGTCGGATCTGCAAACCAAGAACAAACAAACAAAATTAAAATTCAAAGATTTCAATATTTTGAGGGATTAAAGTAGGAAAGGGGAATTGGAGCAAAGACTGCCAGTAGGTGTCGAGATTGTCGTCACGGAAAACAGACGCCATTGCCGGCCTTGCAGGAGCTAACGCTCCAGGCAGCCTTCTTGCCCATTTCTCTGAGATCGTCGTCGACTACCAGTAGCTGGTTCCCTCCCATCAGCTTCGCATCCTCTTCTCCCTCCGATGACTCTGTCGCCATTGCCTCCTCTTCTATGATTGATTCTTTGAACAGGAATTAGAAGAAAAAGAACCCTAATTTGATCGAGTTCCTAAAACCCAAAAAAAGCCTGCGGACGGGTCATGCGGGGAGGGTGTGGGTATGCTGCGGGAGGGGGGGGAAAAGGTTTCTGGGTGGGGGGGAGCTGCTGGGAAGGGCTCGGGGAAGGTCTGGGAAGGTGGGGAAGGGAGGTGCTGTGGTGCGGGTGCGGGGGCGTGGGGGGGTAGGGAAAGGAAGTGAGTTTGCTGGGTTGCGCGTTTCTGCATTTGTTTTGGGCTTTTTTTTTTTTTTTAATAGAAGACTTAGGTTTTAAAAAAAATAAAAAAATAATTTTTTTTAACCACGTGGCACACATTTGGCAGCCACGTGGCACAAATGTGGCAGCCACGTCAGCGCTTAACGGATCAATGGATGGAAAATCTAACGGTTGTATTATTTTGAAATAAAATAGTACTTGAGGTATGAAAGTGAAATGTTTTAAAGATGTTGTATGGGGTTGTAATAGACCTCAAACCTGAGGGGCTACTATGTAATTTACCCTATTATAAAATATTGTGATAAAAACTACCTGAGATGACAGAGAATCTATGGATAGTTCCATAAGCATTTCTTTTACCCTGATAGTTGAAAAACTCTTCTTCAAGCTATTACGTCCCAAGTTTAAATCTTTTCATTCACCTTTAATATAAACTAATGTAAAATACCGATTGTACTAAAAAAATGCCCTTAACTTAATTGGCCCATTTATAATCAAAACTATTCATATTATGAATCACTCTGTAAATAACATTTCTGCAAAAAATAAATTAAATTTAGGACGTTTAGTCAATCTATTGTAGCAAATACAAAGACAGTTCGTAGTGTTTTTACCAATTTCGTTCATTTGTTCACTAAAAGACATTAGGTTTAATTGATTTTTTTGTAGAGATGATCTTTATAAAATGATTTATAATACGAACGATTCTGATCATAAACACGAATTATATGAATTTGCACCGAATAATTTTGAATAGGAACTCATACTCATCATTTGAGTAACTAAGTATTATTTATCATTTCCTCATGAGGAAAAAAGTAAAATAAAAATAAGGAACTACTATTAGCACTTTAACATTATAATTTTACACATTTTATACGTATTTGTTTTAAATATAAAAAATTTGAAATGCATAATTATATTTTAGAGTACTAATAATAATCGTTTAAAAATAAAAAACTAAAAAAATACAATTAAATTTTGGGAGATTATATTCACACATTCCAAATTACTTCATCCACATCTTTTAATTTTTTAATATTTTTCTATCAAGTATAGTGGTGTGTAAAAAATTAAAAAAGTATGAAAAAAATAATTTGAGGTGTGTGAATATAATCACTCTTAAATTTTAATTGTGTTGACCATCCCACCACTGCCTAGTGGGCCTAAATAAAAACTAAAAAGTAGGGTAGGGTTGTGGGCTTCGTGACTTAGTGTGGCTGCATCAAAAGCGAAAAGCAAAAGAGTAATCTAAGCCTAAAACTATGTTCTTTTAACGAACAATAATATTAGCTGTTGGGGAAGTGTAAGCATCACAATAAACTAGTCATAATAATGTAGTTTAAATTTATTTTTGGCAATAATCGAATCTAAAACTTCTCACTTGCAACTTACAAATGAAGAAGAATATCACTAAATAGTAGTATTAAGTAACAGTCTAAAACTACTTTTGACTTGTGTTTATCTACGTCTCTGTTTTACTTTCTCTCAACTTTTTCTCTTGAAAGAAGAAGCATCACCCCCTTCCCAACTACAAAATCCTCTCCTGTGCCTAAACGTACATGATTCGTTCTCACTTTCAGTTGATAGAAAGACAATGTGCTTTCGAGAAAAACCTTTGCTTGTTCGGTTGCTCTAACCCCCAAGTGGTAAAAGTCTTCACAGAACAATACTACAAGTTGCTCCCATTGCTTAAAATATAGAAGAGGCATAAGTGGGGAATCGCATTGTTAGATACGATTTTCATCTTCAACTTACTGCTCTCGAATATTTTGTTTTCTTAGTTTAGTTGAGAGCAGAAAGAACACGTATGATTAAAGAAATAAATAAAAATCAATAAGTCTGACGCAAAATCTAACGCAACAAAGCACATTGATTAATTAATAAATCATCTGCTTTTCTTCCTTGTTTTACTCTCCTACGTTTGCTCCCTTCCAACAAGCTCTCACAAATTTAGACTAACTTCGGCCTTTCATGGGAGCATGATCCTTATAAACAGGGCTTTTCTTAATTACATAAAGTAAAAAAATCTATTAATTTGCTCCCCAAAATTTGGAATAAAACACCTTCAGACCTCGGCGGATTCTTCGTTGATTTCCATCGTACTTAATCTAGCTAGCTAAGCTTTTTCTCTACCAGAAAATCCTTGTCGATTTCAATGTGTGACACATTTTGAGTATTTTTGCGTGGCCACACACATACGATTTGATCTCTCTTCTTTTTCCTAGCTTTGTGTATCCATCTGTGCTTCTGTGACACCAACAATTACAATCCCAGAAGAATATAGTAGACCAATGTAATAGGTAACGCTATCAACATTCCGAAAATAACCCTGCAAGAAATTATTTAATTGGTTAATATTATAAAATAAAATTAAGTTTGATTAAGATAAGAAGGGATTAAGCGCTAGATTTGAAGTGCTTTAAAAATGACTAAAAGCGCTTTAGTGAAAATGTTTTTAAAACCAATCTTCAAATATATCATGAGAAAATCACTTAAAGTGCTTTTAACACCTAAAATCAATATTACCAAAAACGTTTTCAGTCATTTTAACAGCACTTTCAAACGAGAACTAAGTTTGAGATACAATGTTTCTACTTACGCAGTGCTAAGAATGGCTGGATGAACATTGTACTCCTTGGCAAAGACAAAGGGAACAAGTCCTTGAGGAAGAGCAGCCTAGTTTGCCACACATGGATTAATTTTTTTTAATAATTATCCCAATATTAAGCGTAAAGAAAAGGAAAAAGTTGAAGGGCGTAATGGGTAATTTAAAAGTACCTGGACAATCGCTAAGTGGAGGAGGGTGCCCCGGAGGCCAACAGCAATGGAGGCGGCAGCCATAACGGCGGGGCCAGTGAGGAACCTTACTGCCATTGCATATCCGCCAACTGAGTTCCCACATGCTATTATCCTGGGTTGAAGTGCCATGAAAAGACCTGTCATTTTTATCATCAATACAACAACAAAATCATCAGTAACTCGTTATTCCCTTTGTTACAAATTAAATTTAAGTTACAAAGAGAAGGAAAGTCAAACGAGAAGTGCTAAAATCACCCGTGAATAGAAATATATTAACATAAACAAGTTTATTTATTTTCGTAAGAGACATAGATTCACTCCGAATCTTACTAAGTTTACTGTCTACGACCCAAGGATCAGGCAATCCAAACAACTTAAATTGCATCTTATTATTTCCATTAACTCATTTCGTTGACTCACTTCACACAAACTAATGATTTCAAACTCTCTTTCACACAAACCAAAAGCTCAAATTTCCTATTCCCATACTCCAGCCGGTTATCTCAAACTTTCAACTACATTGACTAATTTGGACCTAATCACGCATCTGTCGTGAAAAATGTCCAATTATAGTGAACTCCTTAAACTGCAGCCTTCAACTTCTCTTTCTTGTGACCAAACAAACAGCTGTAAGAACCACTGGTTGGTTATGATTCGTCAGAGTACTGCGTATCCACACCCATATAAACTTATCTGTAATTGAAATTATGCTATAACAAATGCGTAATTGACTTGAAATATATTATCATAGTGTGTTTCGGTTTACGCTAGACAAACAACATTCTGCCAATGTTTACTTGCATAAATTACCGAACCATGACTATTGTTCTAGGCGGTGCAACTTATTATTAGGAAACAGAGGCTCTGGGCAAAAATGGTAGAGGAAAACTTAGAAAAACTTGAAAACAGACTCTAAGAAAAGACATTGAGTGCTTAAAGCTAACGAAAAACTTAGCGCAAAATCCAGCACAGTGACGTTCTAGAATTCATGCACTCAACCTCACTCATTGTGATAAAACTTTGTTGGTGTGGTTGTTGTTACAGTTTTTCTTTATCTAATTAGGAATGTTGAAGAAATATTGTGTAGTGCTAGTAACAATTTTCTAAGTATTATCCAAGAGAAGAATATGAAGTTATTAATTTGAAAGAGTATGGTAATCAAGAAACATATAACTTACCTAAGCTGAACATAGCCATTCCAAGTCCAGCATCAGACAGTATGGAAATTGACTTTTCTACTATTTTTGGCATCCCCACATGCCACCTACAAATCCAATAATTCAAATCATAAATTTTAATCTATACTATTATTTAGAGAACCCTTTTTGTCAAATTTTTACCCTATTTTTTCTTATTTTGCCCTCACTTTTAATACACAATACTTACATAACTAGGGCAAAACAGTAATTTTGTATCTTTGAGAAAATGACAATCATATTCCTATTTTTCCTATTTTACCCTCACTTTTGATACACAATATTTACATAAGGAGGACAAAACAATAATTATGTAATATTAAGATAAAATATATACTTATTAAGAGAAATTATCCCACCATCATTTTTTCATACTCTTTTTAAATTTTTTTATGTAATATTAAGATAAAATATGCACTTATTAAGAGAAATTGTCCCACCATCATTTTTTCATACTTTTTTAAAAAAATTCAAAACTAATCACACTCCTTAATGAAAAAACAAAAAAACAGTAATTATGTAATATTAAGATAAAATATGCACTTATTAAGAGAAATTGTCTTATCATTATTTTTTCATACTCTTTTTAAAAAAAATTATGTAATATTAAGATAAAATATGCATTTATTAAGAGAAATTATCCCACAATTATTTGTTCATATTCTTTTTAAAATTTTAAAAACTAATCACACTCCTTAATGAAAATACTAAAAATAAAATGAAATTATTCCCACCCACAGAGTGTGTGCTCATTGGCTAGTGTTAGTTAAAAATATTTGTATCAAACATATTAAAAAAAAACAAGTTTAATAAAACTGGATTAAGTTGTCTCACCGGAAAGCGATGAGAGCCCAGATGAGACCAATGAGGCTCGAATACGTGTTGGGGTTACGGATAAGCTTCCGCCAAACCATGATCAAGATCAGACGGGTGATAACGCTCGCCGGCGGCATTTGCCTTCCGCCCCTTGCGTGCAGCTCTGCAGTGGAGCTGGACGCCAGCTTATTAAGCCCTGTGGTTCCCTCTTTTTCCCCTTCAGCCTCCTCTCCCTCGCCACCCCTCCAGCCACATCTCAACGCTTCCCCGCCGTACCCCTCCGCCGTTGGCGCACTCTCCGGAACTGCCACCGCACAAAATAAAGAATATTAATTAAGAAAATGATAACTTGTCAAATATTTTCGTGTATTTTATTCAGATTACAAACACTTTTTGTCGGGAAATAAACGTTAGTTACCTTTGTTTTCTCCATTTTGGAGGTGGTCAGCAACAAGCATTCTGATCTCCTTGGCGCCATGATCGGACCGTCCAGATTCCTCGGCAGCACCGAAATCGGTCCCACCAAAAACATGGAGCCCACTGCCTTCAGAAACAGGGGACTCGCTGGAGCTCCAAACGAACATGTGGAGCTCTTTAGCATCGAGATGACTATTCGTTTTAGCAGCAGCACTGTCCGAAACCGGTTGCGCTGCCACTTGCGGCTGCTGCTGCTGTTGAATTGTGTTGCTATTTTTAGCTGTGGGCGCCGAGAATTCAGGATTCGGGGCCGGGTACGATGCGGGTACCGTCATAACGGTCTGAGCCGCGCAATTCTCCTCGAAATTGGAGGGCCGTGGAGTCGGACCGCGGGAGGACTGAACCGAATACAAGTCGGCGGGTCCGAAGTTGGAGTGGCGGCTGTTGAACCCATGAACCCCCATCACGGAGTACAAATCGGAGGGGTTAAAGTTGGAGCCTCGCGGGGTGGGATTTCGGGAGGAGCTCAGGCTGTAAATCTCCGCGCTGCTGAGGTTAGACGGCCGGGGCGTCATTGCAGATAGCGACCGCCTCGATGCGTTGGACTTCCGGACCTTGACGTGGAGCTTTCCGTCGTTACCGATTTCGGCATCGGTTTCCAAAAAATCCCTGCCGTCGAGCGAAACGACGTCGGAGTCGAGTTTAAAGGAGACGATGGAGGCAGCGGTCTCCGGAAACTGCTCCATGATTAAGAGCTTGGCACCGCGGTACTCGAACAGGAAGAGTAGGAGAGTGTACCAGATGATGCACTGGACCACCACCAGCTGCACCATGAGGCTGCCGGATTCCGGGATTTTTTTGCCGTACATGGCGATTAACAGCGGAATCCCCATGACGAGAGTGTTGGGGAGGGTGGAGAGGGAGAAAATCGTAATCAGCCACTCTAGGCTGCCGTTGCGGGTGAAGTTGGTCCATAGGCCGAGGGCGAAGAGCATGATGATTTTCTGGAGGGTGTCGGCGGCGATGAACCGGAAGTTCATGGTGTAGGGGTCGTTGGTGGAGATGAAGTGGAAGGAGAGCAAGGGGACAGCGAATATCGCCACGAAGCTGTTGATGCCGGAGCACTGGTCAGGGGAGAAGATCTTCCACCACCGGACGGAGCCATAGGCTAAGATCATCGCCACGTACAGCGGCACCACCGCCGTCAACACGTTGTAAAGGTCGTGCCACGAAATCATTTTTTACTGGCTGTTGGGAGTGCGCGTGAGTGAAACGGCGCCGTTGCTTAATTATTAGTCACTCTTCCGGTGTTCAGATCTCGTGGTGGAGGTGCGATGGCGTTTGGATGTGAATTGGAGAAGACGGGAGGGGTAAAATGGGAAGAGAGGAAAACCGTTAGTTAACGAACCGGGAATTGGAAGTATACTTTGCGCAGCTGCTGTTGGCTGCGCTCTATCAGTGTTATCTCAGGTTCTGATATTGCTGATGTGAGAGAGAGAGAGAGAGAGAGAGAGAGAGAGAGAGAGAGAGCGTTTGAGAGTAGGGAGGGAGTGATTTTACAAGGGGAATTGAGTTGTAGTAACTTTGGAGGGAATATTATATATAGGGCGACAGAGATAACAGAGTAGATAATGATAGTCGAGGAGTAGGATTATCTTCTCCTAATCTCTCTTATTTCTTCTTATTCTATTTAAATAGTACGATTAAGTTACGTAAGAGGATAGCTCTTTCGTTGTGCAGGACACTCTTTTTCTTAGACCGGGTTAAAATCTCCGACAAGTTTTTTATCGATGCCCATTTAGCACACTATCCTCAGTTTGTACGAATTTTGTCCTGTCCTAATGAATATTGTACTTGTCAAAAAAAAAAAGTTACGTAAGCATCTTATATTGATTTTCTTATTGAGAAATAAGACAAAAAAGAAAGTGTGAGACAAGGAGAGAGAAATAGGAGATGAGAAAATCTTACTCTAAAGTCAAGATATATGGACGCATATGACATTTTAGGACAATAATAGAAAGTAATGATGATTATGCATTCTAGTATAGGTTTAATTCTAAGGAAAACTAATGAAAATTACTTGAAAATTTTGAGTTTTAATCAAAATGACAAAAATGTGTTGTAAGTGAATGGTACAATGAGTGACTTTTTAAAGTAAAATTGTCATTTTTCGTTAAAATGAACAGTACTATGAGTGTTTCGTTAAAACTCTCGTTCTAAGGAAAACTAATGTCTTTTACATAACAACTAATAATTTCGCTTGCTAATAAATAATAATATCAATTTTAAAAATATATATACATACACACACACGGGTGCGCGTATATATGCCAATTTCTTTTTATAAATTTTTAGTTATAATAATAAATTGATTAAGACAATTTAAATATTGTAAAGAGAGTAAGGACCACCAGAGGGTAGAGGGTGGAACATTGATGGAGGGGATAAACTAATGCTCTACTGTACCACTAGAAACATGAAATATGTACACATATACGTAATTTAGTTGCTTAAGATAATGTGTTTTCTCTTTATATTTTTGTTCGAATTTTCTTTTTTTTTAATCGTACTTAAATAGATAATTATTTAAATGGATGGTTAAAGTGTAAGATTGGGGTACACAACAAATAATGTCGTATATAAAATGTGAAGAACAAATGAATCATTATTATATTACTTGAAAATTGTAAGTCTTCTAGAATCAATACTAGTATTATGCTTCTTAAAATAAAAGTGTGAATAACAAATGATATTAATCGAGGGCAAGTTTGTTTGTGTTTAAATTAGCAGTTTTGCTCGACCATGTCCGCAAAATTTTATATTTTATACCAATTTTTTTGTCTGTTTATTTTCAATATATATAAATATATTTTGGGGGTACCAACTACCAAGCATCAACACATGCAAAAAATGAGTGTAGAGAATATGAGAATGTTTTGTTAGATGTGTGGGTACACGAGAAATGACAAGATTAACGAGGATATCCAAGGCAAATTAGGAGTGGTTGCAATTGAAGGTAATGAAAAAAAAATTGGTTAAGGTGGTTTGAACATGTGAAACGAAGATCTATAAATGCTTTGGTTAGAAAATGCGCTTATGAGACAGATGCTCAGTGCAAAAAGGGTAGATCGATGAAGACCTAGGAAAATTTGAAAAAATACTTTAAAAAAAACATTGAGTACTTTGAGCTAACGAAATACTTGACGCAAAATTGAGTGCAGTAGCGTTTTATAATTTATACGACTGACCTCACTTAGTGAAATAAAACAACGTCGTTGTTGTATGTAGGAGCATCTTTTGACTTCCAACGTGCAAGTGATTTCAAAGCTTTCGCTATCTTAAACGTACATTAACGTTATGATGAGATTATTATTTTTGTTTTGAAATTCTTGTAAGTCGTCTATGCTAATTTAAAAGAAGAAAACCCTTTTAAAGTACTCTATATTTTCCAAACAACATAGACAGGCAAGGGATGCACACGGGCGGGTGTAGAATTCTGTACGGCGGAGGAGGGAGAGAGGTGATCGTGAAATATATGTTTGTAGTTGGGTACGTGGTTCCAAGGGCATTGGGGCCGGCGGGAGGCGGGACAGGAGAGTGTGAAGGGTGGGTTTGGAATTGACCAACTGATATCTTTAGCTTAACCCAACATGGGTTCGCTACATGCAGGAAAAGACAAGGGAGAAGGAGCGCTGCGGGAAACCTTCAACGTCGGTTTTTGCCGGGCAACAAGTTCGATGCAAACGTCCTAGTTTTGGGACTTTGAAAATTAACTGTGATGGGGCATGGCGTGGGAAATCAATGTTAGGTGGCTATGGGTGGGTGGTGCGAGATTTGCGGGACTTTTGCAGATGGCTGGTGGGGTGGGAGGTGAGTTTTTCAATGGTGCAGCTATGGTGGAAGCGGCTGCAATTCGTGCAGCTTTGGTGATGTGTAGGGACATGCATTATGAGATGGTAGAGATAGAGTATGATGCTCTATCTCTTATCAACATGATAAATGGGGAATGCACAATTGATGCAAATTTGAAATGCTTCATTTTTTATATTCAGAATTTGGCGTCTCAGATTAGGGAGGTGAAGTTTATGTATGTTCAGCGGAGTTGCAACCTCGCGTTGTGGTTCGTTCCTATAGGATGCTTATGGTCATGAATGTCTTTTCAATATTCTTGCAGAAGGTGTGAATGTTTCTATTAGAATTTAATAAAATTTATCTTTTGACCAAAAAAAAAACATGGGTTCACACACGTGGCCTCATTCGTGTGGTACGGTTCTTCAATGACGTGGACAGTCTTCTATCTTCTTTCCATATCAATCGACTTTCTGGTTTCTTTGTTCCTGGTTCTAGTTACACTTGTCTTTCAAAGTTAGAGAAAGGTGTTGTGAATTCAAAAGGTTCATCCAATTTTATGAAAATGACTTGCATGAAACTGAGATGTAGAGGGACGATGTCTCAAGATAAGTAAAAGAATATTCCTTGGTGTTGATCCAAAGTCTACCCCAGCAGGTTTACCTTATGAACTGGGCAATAGTAAGATACCAAACTTGTGGATTGCCGTTAAAGGTGGCAAAATCTGGTCGGTTTCAAACAAAAGAGTAAGAATCAATCACAGAATCACTGAACTTTGGCAAAGACTTCGCAATTCAATCAAAAACTGATTGTTCATCACATTTTGACCATCACATCCTAAAACATTTACCCAACGAATTTCAATTAAGTTGCATGTATATATCCTCATTGATTTGGTCCATCCAATCATGCTCTTCCACTTAGCAAGAGCTTCTTACTTGTAATCAAGGTACATCTCTTTTTCTTTCATCACGTGCTTGTGTTGAAAAATGTAGAAAGTTTTATATTTGAAAATTGGTGGAACTAAACATAGTTTATACTAAATAGTTTTGTTCCTAATATGTTGAAGCCTTATTTTAGATAAAAACCCTATACATGCCAAACTATACGAGTGAATACATATGTTGAGAGTCACATCGGTATTGCTACCTAGCTTACTATTTTTTTATTTTTATAAAACTCCAACATATGATGGGTAGGCAAATCACTACGGGGTGGCCCAGTGGGTTCGATCCCGTAACAAGGCATGTTTTGGATTCGATCCTTAGTGTTGATGGTGGCCAAAGAGATGCTGAAATGCTCTGTTAGTCTTTTCGGTTCTCAAAATAATGGACTGCTGTGAGTAGGCTAGCAGGCAATACCTTCCCTATTAAACATTATTGTTTGAGCAAAATATTTGTTCTTGGGTCCAACCAGACCAACCCATTTTATGATGAAAGAGATAGAGTTCTTCAAGATTTTATGTTATAACTCATGAACTTCCCACCACCGTTTATTCCCTTCTCTGTAATCTACATGTATACGATCATCCAAATCATTAGCTGATCAACCTCTCTTTCTTTCCTTAATTTCTCGCTCTTATATCGCCATTAACTTAAACTCAATTAATCGAATATTTTGGCAATTGGTTAATTTATTCATCATCATTTTTAATTGATTGATTAGCTAATTAATGACAAAACTGAAAATCAAAGTATTTTCGATGGTAAAGTGACGTAAAGGTTTTGTTCTACGCAAACCCTAGACTGACTAATTAATTATTTTGGAAGCAGCATATATTAACACGTCAATGCGAATAAGACCTCATCTACAGTGGCGGTTTTGGGCATGTGCAATCGGTCTTGCACCGGGTTCCCAACCCTGCTAAAGGATGATGTCATTTTTCAGAAATTTTCCAGGTTCTTCATGTGAATAAAAGAAATAGGGCCTCCACATGCATAAGAAGAATCATTTTTATGTTTTTAGTTTGGATTCTGCCGGCTTTGCTATTAATTGTGTTTTTATTTTATTTTTCATGATGTTTGTTGATTTCAATGATAAGTCAGAAGTAAATACACTACTTAGATCCCTTATTAATACATAGACATATAAATTAGCTGTATAGCATGAGTTTTTATACAAATTAAGGTCCATTTACTATATATTCCGCACAAAGTCCCTAAAATCTCCAAGCCGGCCTTGCTTATATACATTAATGCTTCACAGGGTCATATCATGCTAATTAACTAAATAGTATATAGTGTGCTTTAATTTGGCAGCCATATAAGAATTTTTTTAGTTGCAAAAAGATAATAAATCTTCGTATAAGATCGTATTCCCTTTGAATATTCTCCATTTTTATGACATATTCCCTCAAACAGCTTCCTTAATTTGGTGACACTTTTAATTTTTTAAACACTACTAATCTTTCACTATCATATGGAGGAAAACTCAATTCAACAATTAAGATAATATGAGTATTGCCACTTAGTACTACGGTCTAGTGGTATTTTTTTCACTTGTAAGTGAGAGGTCTTAACTTAAGTTCGATTCTTGCCAAATGCGAGTTTGAACCACATTGTTGATAGCCCACTGTAAGGCTAAGTCCACCCCCTCTCCTTAGTGTGGATAAAATCGTTTGTTAAAAAAAAAAAAGATAATATGAGTATTTAATTAACAATAAAGTTATTTGCACACAAAACTAACAATTTCTAATATAGTTGAGTTATACCATTTTATGTGGGTCTCTCACT